CCTCTGAGTGAGTGAGTATGTGACATGCCCGGCCTGGAGAAACTGCTAATGGGCAGAGGAGAGGAACTGGAAAGAGAAATATGTACCTAGTTTGGTTTTTCCTATTTTACCAATTATTAAAATCAGAAAGACCAAAGTTAGCTCAGTAAATAGAGAAGGGAAAAGCAAAAAATGGAGGCTGGGGAGATGGCTCAGTGGAATAAGTGCTTCCCTGTCAAGTGCAAGGGCCTGAGTTCAATCCCCGGTTCCGCCAAAAAAAACCCCAACAACCCAAAAACAAAAAACAACAACAAAAAGAACAAAGGAAAAGCAAAAAAAGGACCCTAGATTTTTAGAAATGAGGACAAAAAAATTAAGATATCTCAACACAGAGAAAAAAAAGCAAGAGAGAATCCTGCAGAAAAGCGGAGAGGGGCTGGGCACGGTGGCATACACCTATAATCCCAGTGCTTGGGAGCCTGAGGCAGGAGGATGGCTGTGAGTTTGAGACCAGCCTCGGCTACATCTTCCGTCTAAGGCCAGTCTGTACTACAAAACAAGACCCTGTCTCAGAGCAAAACAAGCAGAAAATTTGAGAGGGAAGACACAGACGGCCAAATTGCTGTTGTTATGGTTTGTGTCTAGTTGTCCCCTCAAAGCCTCATGGAGTCATGGAGTGGGGCCTTCTACAGTCTGAGACTAATGATCCACTAGGATTATGGGTCTTAGTACTGCTGAGATTATGGGTGTACTATTTCTTGCCTGGGGCCATAGCCTGAATGCAATTTAAGGGAGAGAGACTTGCTCTACATTGCCACTGTTGCTGCTATTCCTCCACTTGCTCTTCCTTGCTCTTTGCCGCCGCCATGAATGTATGCTGTCTGCCATTGCCACTCTGCCTTGGAGCCAGCTGAGTGTGGACTGAAACCTCCAGTAACTGTGAGCTGAGTAAACCTTTCCTTCTTTCATTTTGGGTATTTGTCCCAGCAACAAGTGAAGAGTAACTGAGACAGCTGTGTTTGGCAGGAAACAACACAAACACCATTACACCTGCAATAACTCAGCAAAGGATCAAAGCACCAAGTGTCTGAAACCATAAAGCTAAGTGTACTGGGACTGTTTCTGCCTTGCTAAGGCTGAGGGAGAAAGCTAAAATGAAGAGTAAAAACTGAGCACAGTAATCCTGAAACTCACTGTGGGAAGGCTGTTTAGAAACACAGACACTCTTACTCTGTCTGACTGAAGTTTACAATGGACCTATATTTTAATAAGAACCCTAAAAGCTCTAGTGCTGGTTGCCCAAGGACCCCACTTTGAGGAGGTCCAAAACACTGCTTAAGTAAGTGTGCCAAGGTTAATAGCAATGACTAATTCATTTTCAGAAGAGTTTTCATATGGGATTGTGGAAGAGATCATCTCTTGGGGAAGAGATGTTACTTAGTGGCAATTAAAATAAATCAGTCTTGGAGGATACTCTCCTGGGAATGTCTGGGAATGTCTATGGGCTCAATGAGTTCACCTCTCTGAACATAACCCCAGTGACTCCAAAATGGCAACACCAAAGACAAGGGGAATTCTAGATGGAGAAGCTCTAAGACAGATGCCGACCCACCATAATTCCTTTCGGGCTGGAGCCATCACCCATCTATCTATATGCAGGGAACAGCTCTATGATCCTGGGTTAGAGCACAAAACTTCCATTTGTTTATTTTATATTGTTTCTTTCTTTCTCTTTTTCTTTTTTTGGTACCAAGAATTGAACTTAGGACCCTGCACTTACCAGGCAGGCACTTGAAGAACCGCTGAACTATATCCCTGGCCTCTTGTTTTGTTTTTTGAGACAGGGTCTCACTATGTAGTTCAGGTTGGCCTTGAACTCACAATAATACTCTTGCCTCTGTCTCAGTGCTGGGATCACAGCGGTGTACCACCATGCCTAGCAGAAACTCCCAGTTTGACTTAACTAGGTATACAATGCAGCTATCCAGAAAAATTGCTTCCTTGCCCTCTAACAAAGAGTGAATTCACAGGCTGGGGAGATAGCTCAGTGGTCTAAGCACCTGCCTGACAAGTGCAAGGTCCAGAGTTCGATCCTTGGTACCGCATGCCATGCCAACCTTGGAACCCTGGACACAATGTCCTGGCCCCAAAACTGGGTGTGGTGGTGCATGCCTATAATCCTAGCGTTGGGAAGGCTGAGACAGGAGGATCGCTATAAGTCTGAACTGCATAGTGAGACCCCATATCAAATAAATAAATGTAAAAAAAAAAAAAAAAGAATGAATTCAGGGACATCTGCTAAGTGCTTTGGTTTCCATAGGCATAATGTGTAATTAAGACCTGGAAAACCAGACTTCTACAGCATAGGGGCTTCGGTCAGACTGGATGAGTGGTATAAGGCTGGGCAAAACCTGGTTAAGATGCTTTGATCCTGTCCCTTAAGTGAGAATACTTTCAAGCAGAACGTTCTAGGTACTTTGGCTCTCTTATTATATGGCATGTGGTCCCGACAGGGAGGAAAAAAGCCTCATCAGGAGGGAGGCTTGGGGAACCACTCTTGTCAGGAGGCATGCAGCTGGCCAGCTGATGTGAGCCCCTAATAGGACAGCAGTGGTCTAACTGGATTACCATAGCTCCTTGGCAGCTCTCCCACTACATGCCCTCAGCTGTCCACCCATCTAGGACAATGCAGCCAGCCCACCACCAAAGCTTCTGCCTTGGAGCTGCCTTCCCTTAGCCAGATTACTTCTGGCTCTTTCCAAGAAGGAGGAACCTTGCTGGAGAGAGGGCTGGCAGACTGTGCCCAGAAGCAGCTGAAGATGTCTATTAGTGTTACTGAAACCAGATCCATGAGTAATTTGGTGGAAAGGTTAGAAAAGCACTTGTGGGAGCAAGGGTTCTAAGCAGTGAAAGGTAGTGCCAGGTGCTTTACTGCCCAAGTCTGTGTAAGGTAAGTCCAAGAATACGTACACTAAAACTGAACTTCCATGCTCAAATAACCAAATAAGAAAACAAGCTTGATGACTTTCATGGTCTCCTCCCCTTCACGCACTGTCAAAAATGTTGAGTCATAGGGAATTCAAGAACAGAACTTCCCTGTCAGGGATGTAATGTCAAGAACAGAGACTGCCCTATTTCTGCCCCTTTCAGAGGGATGTGGTGTCACCTGTCACTGGCTCTGCAAATACCACCTAGAAATGATTAGGATGGTGCCTGTCTTGAGATTCTCTTCTATTTGTTCAGCTACTACTAAATACCAGTTTCCTAGGAGGTACATGGGCTTTGGAAGAGAAAAAAGCAGCATGGTCTTGGTTCTCAAGGAGCCTAGCCCAGGAGAAACAGAATGCAGAAACTGCAGTTTGGTGGATGGTTATCACTACAGGAGTGTATGAAGGTCAGTGGCAGCACAGTTTGATTGATTGATTGTACCAGGGATCAAACTCAGGACTTTGTGCTGCCATGCAGGCACTTATGCTGCTGAGGTCTCCTCAGCCTTCATAGTTCTATTAAGGAAAGTGTCACAAAAAAGGAGGAGCCTACAGGCAGCTGGTGACACAGGAGAAGACATTCCAGGTTAAGGTGGAATAATTCAGGTGAAGGTACTCTGAAAGCCAAGAGTCTTATTAAATTAAAGGAGTTTGGAAAGGGGGTTGGTAGCATCCACTAGAGGATTTTATAAGGAGACAGGAGGGAAAAGCAGCTGGAGCAATGAGGACCACAGCAGGCCACCCACCTGCCACTATCTTGTGCATACTGGGTTCTAGCTCTACTTTTCTCTTTAAAATAAATGATCCCCATTCCAGGCATTCAACAAGCATCCACGTGTGCAGCACTAGACAAGGGACTCTGGGGTCTGTCCCTAAGGAGCTGACACTGTACCCAACATGGTAGATTAAACACACATTGCTGAAGAAAACATAAAACACCACCAAGTGCATCAAACTATAAATGGCACAGACAGCACAGACTATTGAGGGAATTTGTTCACAGGTTTTTAGACTAAAACAGAGCTTAAACACCATCTAATTAGAGAATGGCTCAAGTGTTGATTCCCCTTGACAAACTCTGGTTGAATGAGGCTCCTGGGATGTGGGGAGCTCATTAGGTACACTGGCCTGGCTGAGTCCCACATGCTATGAAGCATACAATGCTCAGCACAGACTTAAACAAGGTAAAAGCGGTGCAACCCAGACAGGAGAGGGTCCTGAACGGATCTTTTTGCCACTAATGAAATGCATAGGACACTAAAGAGGACAGTAGCTGCCTAAATTCATTCTCCATCATGACTGTGACATCCTGATACACCATCTTTTTTCAAAGCAGGTCTCACTGTGTAGCCCAGGCTGGCCTGATCTCTTGCTTTGGCCTCCAAAGTGCTGGAACAGATACCACTTTTTTCTTTTGGTACTGAGGATCAAACTCAGGATGCTACACTTGCCAGGCAGGTGCTTATGCCACTAAGCTATCTCCCCAGCCCTCAGACACTACTTTTTAGTTTGCTTTCACAAAAAACCAAAAAAAAAAAAAATTCCATAAATATTTCATTAAAGTTGGGTGTGGTGGCACACACCTGTAATCTTAGCACTCAGGAGGTTGAGGTAGGAGGATCACTCTGAGTTTGAGGCCAGCCTAGGATACACAAGTGAGTTCAAGGCCAGCCTGGACTACATAGTGAGACCTTGTCTCAAAAACCAAAAACAAAAGCAAAAGATTTATTGGGTCCTCTACAGCTCTGGACTACAACATCATGTTGAGGTAACAAAGTATCAGTTATACACCTGATGATGTTCTCAGGCCTCTGGAGAATGTGGTTCCTATATTAGGGCGAGAAAAAGCCCACCTTTCAATAGTTCAGGGCTTTCAAAAAAGTAAGCCCTGCTGGTCAAGCATGGGCTGGACTCAAGCCTTTCCTTCAACCTCAGGGCTATGATTGCTCCAGTGCTGACTGGAAGGTCACACTTGTCCTTTACCACCCTGTTAAGCCCAGGACAGCTATAGGAAGCAGAAGCGATGGCACTCACCCTCATGGAGGTCTCGCCACCGTGGGCCTGTTGCAGCCTGAAGACCTGGGCCACCATGTGCTCTGTGGAGGGGTGCAGCAGGATCCTGCGTGAGGCCAAACCCACCATCACATATCGGCCCATGGGAGACAGGCTCACCGAAATGGCATTGGGACCTAAGGACCAACAGAATAGAAATATTTCCCAGAGTTCTTTTTTTTTGTTTGTTCTTTTTGGCAGAACCAGGGATTGAACTCAGACCCTTGTGCTTGCCAGGGAAGTGCTTATTCTACTGAGCCAACTCCCTGGCCCCTTTCCCAGAGTTCTTGCCATTCCAAGGGAACAACTTTTACTTTAGCCTTTTCTCCTTTTGCCAATCTTCACATTCATTTAGGCAGCCTAGAGTTACTTCACAGGACTAGAGTAGTAAAATAAGAAGGCACATATACACTGAGGACAGTGTTTAACATTTTGCTTAATAAATGCTAATCATGATTATACTGTTAAGTATATTTAAAAAATTGGTAGCACAATAAATACTATTTAGAAATCTTTTTTCACTTAATATATTATGAACATTAAGGGGCCGGGGAGATAGCTCAGTAGGATAAGCACTTGCCTGGCAAGCGCAAGGGTCTGAGTTCAATCCCCGGTTCTGGGGAAAAAAAAAACAAACAAACCATATATATATATAATAGGGGCCGGGGAGATGGCTCAGTGGAATAAGCGCTTCCCTGGCAAGCGCAAGGGCCTGAGTTCAATCCCCGGTTCCGCAAAA